AAAAAAAAAAAAAATAGGCACTTCTGAAAGAGGATCTCTAAATGTCCAATAATCATATGACAAGATATTCAACATAGGAATTATCAAGGAAATGAAAGTTAAAACCACAATGCATTACCACCACGCACCCACCATGTACAAAATGAAAAAGAATGACATTACCAAGTACTGCAAAGATTCCAGGAACACCTGGAATACTCAAACACTGCTAGTTGGAGTACAAAGTTGGAGTACAAAATGGTAACTATTTAGCCGTATCTGCTAAAGCTGAACTTGAGTGTACTCTTTGACTTAGCAATTCCACACCTAGAAATGCATATACACAGTAAGCAAAAGACACACACTGAAATGTTCCCAGCAGCACTGTTCACATTAGCAAAACATCAGAAGCAATCCAAATGTCCATCAAAGCAGAAAGAATAAATATATTATATTCACACCATGAAATATTTGCACAGAGTCATGAGAATAGCCACTCCACAATGACATGGAATCACATGAATGGATTTCCCAAACACAGTATGAAGAGAAAGAAGCCACTGTATGGTATGATATAGTGTATGAATTAATTTATACAAACTTCAAAATAAGCCATAACTAGCCTATGATAGTAGAAGTCAGATTAGAGATAACGCTTACTGAGGAGAGGGGGCTTCTAGGAGCTGGTAATGTCCTATTTTCTGTCTGGTTGGTAGTTACATTGGTGCAGTCACTGTGTAAAAATTCACTTAGCTATATGCTTAGAATTTGTTTACTTTTTTTTTTTTTGAGACAGAGTCTCGAGCTGTCGCCCTAGGTAGAATGCCATGGTGTCATAGTTCAAAGCAATCTCTAATTTGGGCTCAAGCAATCCTCTTGCCTCAGTTTTTCTATTTTTAGTAGAGACAGGATCTTGCTTTTGCTCAGGCAGGTCTCAAACTCCTGAGCTCAAGGAATCCACCTGCCTCAGCCTCCCAGAGTGCTGGGATCACAGGTGTGAGCCACCCCGCCCGGGCAGAATTTGTGTACTTTTTGTATGTTAGATGTAAAGTTTTGTTATATTTAAAAGTATATTAAGTTTTAAAGTTTACATTATTAAAAATAAAAAGGATCAATCAACAGAAGGTAGCTGAAAAGAGAAGCTGTTTTTCCCTCTGAGGTTGCTAAGCTGGTAGGATGGCAGACTGAGGCTTCCGGGACCCATCTTTGCCTAGATGAGGAAGCCAGAGTAAAAGAAAACAGAGCTAAGAAATGCCATGTGGACATCATTTAAGCCCCTGGATCTAGCCATGCCTGAAGGAGCCCTGGATTCCTCATATCCATGAGCTAAGTCAGTTTGAATTAAGGTTTTGTCCCTGTTCCTATGAGGTCTCATATCTGTATCTTGAATGTTCTGCATTTCAAGTTCTCCAATTTCTTCTTTAAAGTTCCTCAGAGGAAGGTAATTTGGGCTTCTTTTCTCTGAGCTGTAGGCTGAAATTCTTGATTACATTTCTAACAGACATTAAAAAAATACATTTTGTTTAATATGATAAAACTTCTTCCAGCAATGATGTTAGGAGAAAACATTCAATTTCTCACAGAAGCTAAACCTAGTTCTAACAGATTTTCAGAACAACTCTTTATTGTTTCTTTTCATACAAATTGAAATAGTACAAAACCCTACTGTTTGGGGGGCAGTGCCTGTGGCTCAGTGAGTAGTGAGCTGGCCCCATATACCAAGGGTGCTAGGTTCAAACCCAGCCCCCACCAAACTGCAACAACAACAACAAAAATAGCTGGGCATCGTAACAGTCTCCTGTGGTCCCAGCTACTCAGGAGGCTGAGGCAAGAGAATCACCTAAGCCCAAGAGCTGGAGGTTGCTGTGAGCTGTGATGCCACGGCACTCTACCGAGGGCAATAAAGTAAGACTCTGTCTCCAAAAAAAAAAAAAAACTACTGTTTTGTACTGGCTTTCCCAGTTTATATTAGAGTTCAATAGAAAGTGGGCACCCCAATAATTAATGAGAGCTAGGCTTAGAATAAGGTAAGAGGTATCTATTATATACATTATTTTTTTCTTCAATAGTGATTTTTACTGTTAGTGGAAGTGTAAATTGGTACAACCTTCTTGAAAGGAACTATAGAAGTATCTGGCAAAGATTTTAAAGTATCTACTCTCTGACCCAGAATTCCACTTCTAGGAATTTATCCCCTAGACACATATGTGAGCATGAACTTATGTAAATATGGATGTTCTTTGCAGCAGTTGGTTGTATTAGTAGATTGGAAAAATCCTAAAAGTCCTTAAGTAAGTAGCTTGTTAAACAAATAATGGGATATCTTTTGGTGGCGCCTGTGGCTCAAAAGAGTAGGGCACTGGCCCTATATACCAGAGGTGGTGGGTTCAAACCTGGCCCTGGCAAAAAAATAAAAATAAAAAATTATGGGATATCTTTTTAAAAGAAAGATATCAAACCAACCTCTCAGTGCTAATGTGAAAATATGTACAACCTTTATCACTAAGAGAAAAAAAAAA